CCTCAAAGAGTTCGGCACCCAATGGAATGACGACGAAGCCGTCGTGGAGGCTGTGAAGATGGCGGGGCGGCAAGCTGCAGAGGAGCAATCACATGCCTTCGGATTCAAACTTTAGGATGGTTTAATTAGGTTTTAAGGGCTTGGGATTCAGGGTTTAGGATTTATGGTGAAGGGTTTCGTTTTGTCCTTTTTAGTTTAGGGGGCCTCGGGTAATTAGTTTGAAAATTTGGTGGAGAGAAGACAGCTGTCAAACCTGAACCCTCTACCCGAAACCCTAAACTGGCAGGGCAGCTGTCAGACCTGAGAGGAGATCGCGCACCGTGAGTTCGAAGCGTCGATCCGTGAGACTTTGTCGGGCTCCCATCTGAACCAGGCCATGGGGTTTAGGGGTTGAGGGTTTAGGGTTTGGGCTTTAGGGTTGAGAGTTTGGGCTGTAGGGTTTAGGGTTTAGGGAGACCCTTCAGCATCTCGTATTGGGTTTGGGCATTCAGGGTGGGGGGTTGAATGTTTGAGGTCTGGGGTGTGGAGGCTTAGGGATTAGTCGGTTTGGGGTTGTTTTTAGGGCAAGCCCCCCCGACAGTAATAGCCCCTAAATATGGAGTCAATAGGGGCTTAATCTACCTACGATAGTCCCTTGTGGTACCCATTACTGGGCGGTGGATTGACCCAAGGTTGTTTTCAAAGCTTGCAACGAAGCCTGCTGCTCATGCTACGATCAACACTTTTCATCTGCCAGACATTCGAACTTAGGAGCACCCCCCACCCAAATATAGTCCTTATTATTCCTTATGCTCACCATTACAGGGTGGGGGGGTCCACCTAAATTCGAACTGTCCTCTGTCGCTTTTTTTCTGTACAAACAAATTGCCACTACCAGGCTCGTAGTCACGTTGGGGTGTTGCGCTGTCCCTATACCCTGAACCCTGGGTAGGTCTCTGGTATCATTCCCCTCTTGCTTCCAGGATGAATGCTGTTGATCCCTCAAGGTTTCTAACTGTATATTATTCTTACGATTATAGACTAGTATTGCATATGCCCACCTGCTGTGGAAGCGTCGCAAGCACTTCATTCACTGCACTCCAAAGTTCTGAGGGCTTCTGCAAAGGCGGAGGCGAGTAAGGATTAAGGGGAGACAGGGGGGTGACAAAGGCATTATGTGGGTCTCCCTGAAGGAATGAACGGAGCTAGCTTGAGCCAGGAAGCGGTGGAGGAGTTTGCGGCCAAGATGAAAGCCATGGCCGAGATGTGTCTCGGTTTTTTCTGAAGGGATTTGGGTGTCAAAATCTTTTGGGAGCTTCTTGAGCCCATCCAAGGTGTGGCAAGGGCAAAGAAGGAGCAGAGCTTGTGAAGGAGGAGCTCAGCATCATGAAAAGCGGCAGCGAGATGTCCACCATGGAATCTTGGGCCTTACGCCGGGACATTCAGATAAGGCCACATTGGGAGTGTTGTCACCATGGGAACCATGCGAGCTAAAAGTCAAGGCAGATCTTGGGAGCTGCTGCTAGGTAGGGTTATCGTCTGTATTATTATCAGCTTTATCTTTAGAATGTCTGTAATTGTTATTGCTAGTACTGTTGTTATTTTTAGTATTAGTATTTTGAAGTGGCCCATTCTTCATGTAGGGTTTCGGGTGCAGGGTTTAGGGCCGAGGGCTTACTTGGAAAGACGGAATCAAGTTTTCCAAGTTGCGGTAACGGGTTCGCCGCCACAATCTGCTAACACCTTGCAACGGGGATGTAGAGATTAGCGTTTATTACTCAGGGCTGGGGGGGATCATTTCGCGCTTAATTTCAGAAATTTGAGAGTAAGATAATTTGAGGATCCTAAGTGATGGTAAGTTTATATGGGCTGGAGGGTTTAGGGTTTAGGGGTTTTAGGGTTTAGGGTTTAGAACCATGAGCCAAGATAATCTCCTGAAGACTACTGCTGTCAAGAGGCTACAAAGCCAAGGCCAGTGGAAGGATACTTAAGCTTCGGTCCCATGGCCAAAATCAAAGCAAGGTCCAAAATCTTCTGAGCTATAGTCTGAATTCCTTAAAAGGGGTTTTATAGGGGAGTATCATAAGGGTCATTAAACGGATACTAGGAGTTTAGACCATGGCTCACATTGGGCCTGCGGGTTTTGAATGTCAGCGGTCAGCAAAAGCATCAACATTCCATGTAGAACAGAATTTAGAGGACAGTTCAAGGGGTGCTTTCAGTGTGGTGAACCTAGAAAAACACGGGAGGAATCTACCAAGCGCATGTTTACCCATACATCTGTCTCCCTCCAGCGGGCAACAAGGATCCTACAATGCCCTCAGCACCCTACATCAGAGGTTTCCTGGACAAAGACACGGTTAATGTAGGTTCTGATCCTGGCGCGCTGCGACTACATCCTGGGTATTCTGGATCAAGAAATCGCAAAGATGGGGTCTACCCCTTGGTGGAATGACCCAAGGTCATGCATATCCTGTACCCAAAACCCTGGATATTATATGGGGCCAGCTGCCGGACACCACCCCCTGAAGGAAAACAAGCTTTGCAAGTGAGGCAGGTTCATTCCAGGTTGGCGCAGGTCTGGGCCTCTGACCTTTGTGTGATTTTACACTCGAAACCCTGAACCGCTTTAGGGTTTCAGGGTTCAGGCTTTGGGTGGAGTTAGGGTTTGGGGTGTCGAGTTTCGGGATTACACCAATGCTCAAAGACGGTACGGGCGTCCAAGAAACAGTCATGGGTTACTCAGCTGCCCTCCTCCAGACTACTAACCCCCTAGATTCCCCCTTAATTAACCTTAGTTCGTCCTAGTTATCTTGAAATAACCGCCTGGAAGAGGCAGTAGGGCGGCGGTAGCAGGGGAACCCATGAAATAACTACAGACAAGGGACGCCAGACAGGCATATTAAGAACGGACGATGATATCAAAGCTTGATTAGATGGTTCTCGGCCAGTCCAAGGCTACGGGTTTGGCGTTTAGTGGTTAGGATTGGGGGTTTACAGTTGCTGTTGTCGGCCGCAGGTGATACGGTGATACCCTAGCGCCTCTTCCAGTCACTGTAGTAGGCTAACACATGTGCTTCCTAACATATCTCTGTACACCCTGACCTTTAATTACCTGAATCCTACACTCTGATCCTGATCCCTAAGCTCAAACCGCGTGCGATTCATACAAGAAGCTCCCATATCCCTCTATCTAGCTCAAGCCGTACTGCCCTGCAGCCCTTTCTAGCCCACGGGTATAGGCAAAACAAGGGTACGAACCCTAAGCCCCTAGGCCCGAAGCTCGTAGATCATAGCCCCTAGAAATACCTCTCCCCCCCTAACAGCAGTACTATTTGGGAGTACTTTGCATTGGCATCGTGAAGCCCTAAACCCCTAAACCCTAAGCTGACAATATTGGTACGCCCTACAAACCCCAAGCTCTAAGCCCGTAGCCCTAGGAATCCACGATGGCGCACGAAATGGCGAGCTACGTCGACGAGCTCTGCCAGGTTCAGGTCCCTCCATACCAGTGGCCTCTCAAAGTTGCCATTGCCTGGACCCCCGCAAAGCAAAGTATACAGAATAATAACCTCTTGGACCATTTCTAGGAGGTTTGGACCATTAGTTCACCTATTGTTGGTGTTTAGGTATTTTTCTATCATTCTTGGCATCTTATGATTGGTACCCCAAAGTATGAACAATTATCCTTTTGACTATTTTGATGCATATGTGTTTGTGCCGTCTTTGACCTGCTGTTGGGATCTAGGTAGTCTTGAAGATCACCGGATTCCGGGAAAGGTTCAGGAAAGGTTCAGGGTTTGGGGCTTAAAGTTCAGGATCTGGGGTCTATGGTAGGGAGAGAAGATTTTGGAAATGTGTTATCCCAATCCGCTTCCCATGACTGCATGTATCTTGAGTTTGTTATGGGTGCGTTACCTTGCTGGTATGAAACCTATCTCACCCATTGCCGTCTCGTTCAAGGCAGGTCATGAGTGTACCAAACAGTGAAGTCTTGCAGCGAGAGCAGAGGAAGTTCCAACAGGGACTGCATATGAGAAGCTTGTGTCCAGAGTACCACTGTTATAGAACCCTAAATAGGTATTCCGGCAGTCTAATTATACACCCTAAAAATCTCAAGGGCCCCGAAATTTCTCAACTTGTTTAAGGTTCAGGGTTTAGGGTGTAGGATGTGGGGCTTCGGGTGTAAGATTCAGGGATTACAGCTGGTCGCCTTGCCACTTGGGAGGTCATGGACGTGGACTTCTTTGTGGGAAAGCTCCTGGGCCGGGGAGATTTCTCAATATGATAAATTTCAAGCGCTGTGATTCAGAAACAGGAATAATTACTAAGATTGTAAGATTAGGGCCCCAGAGCTCTTGTATAAAGTGTATAATTATAGCTGAGGGTACTTCAAGTACACCTCCAAATGGTATTGGTGATGAATTAGGCCCCTAAAGTAGAACGTTTCAAATGGTATTGAGGTCCACCACTTGGACTTTCTGCATGCGCAAGTATCCCTGTGATTATGCCCGAGCCTCGATGGCAGTTGCATAGAAAATCAACTGCCACATGACCAGCCCACCACCCTGCCCAAACAGCTGGGCAAACTTTGTGGTTATGCCTCCACGTCCACAAGCATGTGGAGCCTAGACAAGTCAGACATCAATCAGGATGCCCTCACATCCCTTACATGGGATGCCCATTTACCATGCTCCAGTTCTGCAAATCAGAGGGGTAAGTTTGATTGTTTTGCTTTGTGTTCTGCACAACTCCTATATAACCCTTATAAAGCCATGAAACATTAATTCTTATAGGGCACCCCAAACCTACCCTAGTGGAGGGCTTCTTTTCCGGGCAGAGGTCTCGGTCTCCGGGTGTTCTGGAATCAAGAACCCTTTATGTAGCCTACCTAAACCTAAGACTCCACATCCCCCTGAAAAGCTGATAGGAGCCACGAACCCGAATGCAAACACTTGACACTTACGTGTCGAAGATAGCACAAGCCACGCGCAACACAGCTCGCGAAGCGAAGATTCCGGGCCCCCAATTGACAAAAGACTCTTCTCTCTCATCTTCCAATCTCTCTCGCTCCCTTCTCCTCTCAACTCCACTCTGGTCCTCTCCTTTCCTCTCTCCACCTCGACTCTTTACTCCGCTCCTCTCTCCTCTCCCTTTTCTGTCTCCTTTCTCCTCTCCCCTCCCTTCTGTCCCATCTCTCTCTTCTCTCTTTCCAGTCCTCTTCACCTCTCCACTCTCCACTCCCCCTCCTCTCTGCTCGTCCCCTCTCTCTCCCCCTGTCCTCTCTCCTCTTTCTTCGCTCTCTCCAGTTGTCCGACACGTCCCATCCCCTGTGACCGTTGGCAATTTTGACACCAGCAGTTCCCCCATCCCTGTGACTGTTGGCACTTCTGACAGGCGACACGACAGTTCCGAGGATCGAAGCCCTCAGTCGCCGCATTCCTGTGACGGTTGACACTTTTGACTGACATGCGACGCAAAGAAGCTCCAAAAACGACAACAGTTGCGAGGATGGCGACCCCCGAGGCCCAATGTCCGTGACTGTTGGCACCATTCTTTCGCAGGCTCCAAAAGCGACGACATTTATAGGGATCGCGACCCTCAACGCCCAGTCGGCTCGCGACTCCTGCCCCACTCGCGAATGCTTTCACGGACGATTGTGGACGCTTGTGAACACAAAAGCAACGATGTTTGGTCACCTCCTGGACCGCAGGACCCAACCTTAAAGATGGGAACTCTTCTGCGGAGCATTCGGAAAAATTTCGAAGAGAAACCAGAACTTGCAAAACCGCTGCCGAAATCGGCCCGCTGCAGACCTCGGACACAACCTCAAACAGCTACCATTAGTTTATATAGGTTGGACCAATTGGCACCGAAGCGCCTGCAGTTCCTCACGGATCGACCCAACTACGCGGCATCAAGAAACAAAATGTTGACGCACCATGCCAAGCAATGTACATGCCGCAACCTGCACACAGACCACTGTAAGTGAGCACCATGAAAGCACTTGTAACGATGCGAAGTTGCGCCATCAGATGCAAAAGGTTACCATGCCAACATATGTCATGCTCAACTCCACTCTTCATTCTCCACTCTCTACTTCCCCCTCCATGCCACTTCCCACTTCACTCTCCACACTCCACTCCACTTTCCACCTCATTTCCGCTCCACTCTCCACGCGTCCAATTCCTATGACTGCTGGCACTTTTGACACGTGACAAGGAGAAGATGACGCTCCAAAAGCCTGGACAAGCCCACGACTATTGACACTTCATAGCACGCGACGCGAAGGTGAGGCTGCCTCCAGTCAGTCGCCCCATCCCTGTGAAGGTTGACATTTTTGGCCCTTGACGCAAAGACGGCGCTGCAAAAGCGACGACAGTTACGAGGATGACGACCACGACACGTCCCATGTCTGTGATGGTTGACGCTTTTGACACCTGACCAAAAGACGAGGTTCCAGAAGCTACGACATTATACAGTGATCGCGAACCTCGGGCGGTCCAGCCGGCTCGCGACACTCCTGTGACACCGCGATGCATGCGGACGCTTGTGGACACTTGCGCACACGTTAGGTCACCTCTTGGAGTCTTGGACCCCTGGGCCCCAACCTTTGAAACGGGAACCATTCTGCGGAGCATTCTGGAGAAATTGGCAAGCCCCTAGACCGTAAATCTAGAACCACCCAAGCTAAAGGTTTGGACATGCCACTGATTGCAACGAGCTGATTGGCATGTCCCTGGTGTCGAAAATGCTACTTGGGTGCATTTCGCATGATGGGCCCCAAAAACCTATTCAAATTGTAGGCTCCTAGAGCAACAAGGTTTGCCCTTGGTTTGAAGAAAGGAAAAATATCCTATTATCTCCCATGATCCCTACATGGGTGTTTTCAGAAGATAACTAGGTAATGTACAAGCCTGAACTATTTATGAACATTGCTCCGTCGTAATGCTGGCATATAATGATAGCATCGTTGACTCCAACTCCTTATATTTATTTGATACCAACAGATAATAATTAGGCTACAGTACCGAGACGACCCTCAGGGAGTTTTGAGGACTCTGTGGAGTCCAGGAGCCAGTCCGGGCAACGCTAAATCAATAATGAGGGGATTTTGTCAAGCCCAACCCTCAAAACTGGAACCCTATGAATGTCATATGACAATTGTAGGAGAGTTGGGGTTACCAATTTCGCAAAACCCTTTTATTTACCAAGGCACAAGGAAACTCAGAAGCTGGACTACTTTGCAAAGTCCAGCCTGGTCTTGCACGACGAGGCCTGAGTTGTTTGTTCTAGTTTTCGCAACTTCAAGATCTAGGGTTTACAGATTCAGGGGTTTACACTCCCCCAAATTAAAATGGAAATCCCTACAGCCCCCTGTGGAACGGACCGTAGTCCTTATAGAGCCCTTCTTGGGTTTCCATGTTAGCCGGGAGGGTAGGGTTTACAGTAGGGGTTCAGGGCACTGGCATAGCACGGAGATGAGTGAGATAAGGTTTCTAAGTAGCTTCAATGATTGGCAAGAGAAAGGAATTGAAAACAAACAGGCGCCATATCCCATGAAAACACCATAACACGCCAAACCCTAAACCCTAGAGGTCCTTTTGTTGGCAAATGGAACCTGATTCTTGGAAGCCCGATAAGGCCCTTGACTCCTTGAGCGCAGAAGAAAGTAGAGCCTCGTCGGCTTAATAGTGCTGAGGGAAGGGTTTAGGGTTCAGGGGTTTAGAGGGGCTAAGGGGCTGAGTTTCAGGCTTAGGGGTTTAGGATTTAGAGGTTTAGGGCGCGCGGGTTTAGCGCTTTCTGGGTTGGGGCTGTAGGCGGTTAGGGTTTAGGGGTTAGGGGGTTAGGGTTCAGGGGTTTAGAGTTTGGCGGTCTGATGGCAGGTCTCCGTACTCATATGCATATGCTTCTTAAAGATCTAAGATAAAGATCCACCTTGCTACTGCCCCTTGAGAACGAGCAAGTCAATCCTGCACAGGAAAACGGCGTGGGGGATCACTTCGTGAAGCTTCTCAAGGGCGAGACGGACGAAAACACCAATGTTGCCAGTTTCAAAGCGCTCCTGCATAATGCCACACAGAAAAGTGCAGAGTCTCTGAGCTGCAGTAGGCGGATTCAGGGTTTGGGGTTGAGGAGAAATTGGTCGAGGATGGAGGTTCAAAGGGATCATGCGCACCCCGTCGCCTAAATGTGATGGTGCGGGGCGCATACAACGTTGAGCTTGATGTGGTAGGTTCCATTCATAGGGGAGACCCAATATTATATAGACCCCCAAATATTACAATCCTTAGTATAAGGACCCCCAAAACAGACCCCCTAATGGTTGGAAACTCCCATGTTGGTCTTTCTCTGATGTAGGAAGCAGGTACGCATTAGCTCACAGACTCTTACCTCAGAAGTGTCTTTTTACACCACTTCTCTGTTTGGGGAATGGCCAGCTTTCCTGCTAACTTATCCTGGACATTAAAAGTTTCCACATTGAGGGTTTTTGGAAACCCCTACGCACAAAGCGAAGACGCTTCTGCAGTCTGTTGATAGTTAAGCTGGGCTTACCAAAAAGTCATCGGATCTGACTGAAATCGAAAGAATCAAATGGTATCGCGCGGTTAGGGTTTAGTGCTTAGGGCTTAGGGTATCTCGGAAAGGGCCAGATTCGCGCCCGCCTTTCGTCAGAAGTATGGCGACGCCTTCATCTTGAACCAAGGGCAATTGCATAGTGCACTGAGACACCCTAAGCGCTCCCTAAATGCCCCAAGGCCTTAACCACCCCAAACCCAATTATTGTCACCTGGAAAACCATGCTGCTAGCCTCCCGCAGGATCCGAAGGGATGCCGGATGCCAGTAAAAATTCCTTCCCCCAAATACTGAACTTCTCACCCCCTAAAAATCAATCTGCCTATGGCATTTTTTGTCAGTATTTGATGTTTGTGGGGGGAGTGTCAATTTCTAGGGGGGGTGATGAACCCCTTCCCTTTGGTGTCCTGTAGTGAAGAGTTTCCCCAAGATTGACATAGACGCATTGCCGCATTGCGTACTATGCACAAATTTGATGTTGGAACTGGCCTGGTCAAGCGGAGTTTCTCAAGAGACGGCCCCATGTTTTAGATAATCCCCATGTACGTATCCTTACTGGGTTGCTGTTAAGGAACTTCATTCAAGTTACTATATTGTGGAAAGCTTCTTAGTTGTTATATATACCCATTATGGCGACCTAATTTCAGTTCCTTAACAGCAACCCAGCTTAGGCCCCCTGTATTGGGAATCTCCACAGGCACCTGCCAACTATGAGTCGTTTGCGATTGATTGATCTCAAGCACTACGATCCTTGTCCTGTAGCTTCAGGCAAAGGAAAAGGCAGGAGGGAAAGACTTGGAATAAAGGTTAGGGGTTATACTTGGATATCCGCACCAAAGAATGGAGAATCTATGGAAAAGAGCATGGTAACTTGCATTATATAGTGGGGTTTAGGCTTGAGTGAGAGGCAAGGATCTCAAATTCAGGGTAACTAGGTGACATGCATGTTCAGGTCTAATTTCTTGAAGATTGACCAGCATTTGTTCGGCTATCTCGTGCCCAGGGGATTTGGAAGAGTTTGGGGTTCAGGATTTAATTTAAGGGTTCTCAAAATTTTGTGTAAGATGCCGGAGAAGGCAGAACATGGAATAGGCCGTCTACACAAAAGGTAGTCCAGGAAAGCACAATCGTCTCTCATACCAGCTTAGCTGCTTGAGTGCAAGCCATGTTTTGAAATTGTGAAGCCCGCACCTCCACGAGGACAGAGCAATGATCACAGTTATAGTTATCAGAATATTAAGTGCGGTAAAACTGTAAGACTACGAACCATACTCATAATGCCATTAGTCAGAGATGACTGATCAAAGCGTTGAGTTCAGGCCTCGCGGGCTAACTCTTAATTCTAGCCCTGCGTCGTGGCTGACTCAGTGGCCCCCAATCTAAAAGCCTTAGCTCCAATCCCATTTTTTGCCGTGCTTCAATATGTAGAAGCCAAGATATGGGCCCCTCCCTTTTGCAGTTTTAATTTTCTATTTAGGGAATGGTAGATCTCCAAACCAGCTTTTGATTCTGAAGGTGTGCGTAAGCCCAACCCTAAACTCTAGGCCTTAAAGTCGAAACCCTAGACCCTAATCCCGAAACCCAAAACCCCATACCCTAGACTAAACCCTAAACCCAACCCCTAGGAGCATGTGCACGGCTTTACCGTGGAGAAGTATTGCAACGGGACCTTCACTGCTGCCGCAGATTGGGTCAAGGAGCTCACGGAGCTTTGTAGGGTTTGTAGGTTGAGGGCTGAGGTAGAGCCTGAACCCTACAGCCTAAACCCTAAACCTAAAACCCCAAACCCAAAAGGGTTGAGGGCTTGAGACTCAGAGTCTGGCAGCGGGAGTTTGGGAGCTTTGTCGCAGGAGTCTATTTCGGATCAGACTTGCAATTCTCAAGAGCACAGGCTTTTCATGATCAATTGGAATCAGGTTTAAGGATAGGATGTCGTGATACGCAAGGGTTTAGGGTTTGGGGTTCAAGAACAGACCCTTCCAGAACATTCAGTAAACAGCCATGCACCAGGCATGCATGCAAGTAGGACAGATATCACAAAGGGTTCGTGCTCGCCAAACACAGGAAGACTTTCAACATCACATTGAAATCTGCAGTAGTTCGACCTCCTAAACTTCATGCGGCGCTCTTGCTGAATGCTGCATGCTGTTCAATTTGATGAGGCCATGGTAGGGGAGTGGGTAGAAGGGCCCACGCAAAGATAGAGAGGGGATATAAGCGTCCTATATCATGCTGTACCGTAGCTATCCTGCTGATACTCGTGCAACTACCCTTGTGCCTTCCATTCCTTCGTTTGAGCCACGGCTCTCTCTTTGCCAGCTACCCCGCCCTAAACCCTAAACTTTCTCGGGGCAAGCCGGCACGCAACGATGTAGCCTCCTAAAAGAACAACAACGCTGGCTTCCCAATTAAAAACCCCCTGACCAGCATGAAACGCCTAGCCTGTATCCACAGTAGTACACCCCCTTACAAGAGCTAAATTCCAGCCCCAAATCGCTTTTTCTATAGAGGGAACAAGCTTTTTAAATTCTGTTGCTGAGCAACTTAAAGCTGTTAGACAGTGCCAGGAGCTTCAAAAATGTCATTGCTAAACCGCTAGAGAAGAAGCCCGAGAAGAAGCCTGAGAAGGTTAGAGAGGGCTGACAGCTCCAGTAAATGCTCTTGCTCAGGCGGCCAGGGTGACTGAGAGCTCTTGCGACAGACTAGAGAAACCCGAGGGTTCTAGAATGCTGTTGCTTAAGCCACTAGAGAGTGATAACAGCTCCTAGAATGATACTGCGGAAGCAAGTAGAGAGCCCTTTGCGACAGCCACGGAGGGCTTTCGAATGCTGCTGCTAAAGCCGTTAGAAAGCGCCGAGAGCTCCAAACATGATTCTGGTAAAACAGTTAGAGAGGCCTAAGGGTTTGAGGGATGAGCTTAGGGATTTTGGGTTCAGAGTGTGTCGTCGGCTATTGCAGGGTCACCGTTCCAAACAGAATGATCAACCGAGAGGAGGTCATTCTTGCGGAGTCAACACTACTCTCTTCAGGGCCACATTGACGGTTTTCTGTTAGGTCGAGGGAGTGTAAAGCCCAACCAAATGCATGTTTAAATGAGCCACAGTCTCAACTCCTAGTATAGCCTTAATAAGCCTTATAATGCTCCCATATACGATCCCCTTTATAACCCGGAGTTGAGAATATGGCTCAAAGGGCAAGGCAGCCTCCAGTTCTGTCGCCAGCGTGTAAGAGCCCGGGGGTGCCGACCCAACCTCTCGGCCCGAATCCCCAATCCGGAACTATTGGGGTTTACAAGGGAATATGGAAATATAGTATATAGGGGTTATATTGGGAGTTATATTTCTTGTTCCCTACTGAGCCCCTGTAAGATTACATATCAGGGTGCCATGATCTTTTCTGAATGGGGTCGTTCTTATCCACCTGAAGCATACTGACTGCCAAGCAACCCTGATACCAGGACAGTCCAGCCATCCAAAACTACGTCGACTGCCTTTGTACGCGTCAGCAGCCTTCCTTGCTATGCGGCTTGTCCGCACCCATCGAGTCCTTGTTCTGTCGCCGCGGATGCGCAGCATGATCCCTACTAGAACCCCTTACATTCCCCTTTCAGTTAAGTCCTAGACCCTAAAGTATAAACCCGAATGCCGGATTTTCTTCTCTGTGGCTCAGGTGATGCGCAGCACATGGAAGAGTTAGAGGCTCTCAGGCCAAGACTCTCGGCTGCTCTTTCTGGCTGGTTTTAGGATTAAGGTTTTAGTGTTTTGTAGTTAGTGCTCAAGATTTAGGGACCAGGGCACACACAGCAAGGTTATAAAGGTCATGGATCGTTGGCCTTATACAACGGTGATAAGTCTGGGCTTCCAACACTTCAGGGTCGTTGGGGCTACATCAGGGGGCGCCCCTTTTTATTGCAACACCCGAATGCGTGGTTGTTTCTGGCAAGGGCATGCGAAGCCCGGTGCAATGGCGTTCCGCATGCCAAATGGCAGTGCTTCAACGAATGAATCTCCTGCATAGTTCTTGCAGACTGTAACCGCAGCTGTTCCACTTCCCCATGGCTGAAAGCATCCTCAAAAGTCTTGAACCTCCATTAATCGATCATCTTGGAAACAAGAGGGAGCGGAAGACCTGCACACCAAACTCCACAAACATGTTATTAACAAGTTGAGCTTCAGGTTCGCAGACTTTTTAGGGTGCTGAGTGGATGTCAGGAGCAGAGCTCTTTCCAACGAGATCCAACAGGATGTCTTTTGACATCATTCCTTTGTTCTGGCCTGGACGGTTACAGTTACACTACTATGTAAAGAGTGCGCTATGATGAACACACTGCCAGCCGTTTATAATGTATATATCAGCAGCAAGGTACGACTTTGTTCGCAACAAGTAAGCTCTTTTCGTTCTCCCATAGCATATGGATTGCAAGCATGAAGCTGTGACTGGCTCTCTCCGGCAAGACTAGGTGTTTTGCTGCCGATAGGTGTTTCATGCAATGCAAGAATGTGTTTCTTACACAACGGGAGACGGGCCTGTTGGGTTGCTTATTGAATCTTAAGTACAACCTATACTCGTTACTTGATGAAGACATGTCCCCTATTTGTATATCTGTCTATCGA